ACACAATAGTCCAGAGAATACTGGTGACCTCGACCTTGACCCTGGAATGAGCTGGAAAGTCCAGTGGTGTGCCCGCCGCCGGCACCACGCTCACCTTCCTCCCTGAGAAGCGAGAGGAAGCATTCTGACCAAGGTCTTTACCAGAAGGGTAAAGGGAATAACATCAACACGACGAGGGCTCCAAGACGGACCGTTCTCCTTTCATACCAGGATATGAGGCTTCGTTATCAATAACGTCTCTCAAAATGAAAATAATTTTGGGGCAATGGGGTGACTTGAACCCGCGTTCTGGTGATTCCCAGACACTTGCGTTAACTATTAATGGCATTAATATTAACTATTAAAGCATTAATCTGTGCGAGCTTTTGGGGTGGCGGTAAGTTACTCTCTGAAACATCAAATATGTGGAAACTATACAAGGAGAAATTAGTAGAATGATGCAGAAAGTGAAACGAGGAAATTTGCAGATAATGTTAATTGAAGATAAGGTGATGTACAGGGGGGGGGATGTTGAGGCGAGTCGTAGAGAGATGTTGACTGTCTAGAAGAATAGGCGTCGAGGTTAGACTGGCGGGGTGACTGATGAAAGTGTTGGGTGTGCTGGTCATTTAGTAGGACAGGAAGGATGCAGTCGACCGGACACTGGGGCTTCGACGCCTCCCAAATGATGCCGCCTCACCCACCGCTGCCTCACCCACTGCCGCCTCACCCACCGCTGCCTCATTCTCACCCACCTCACCCACTCTCACCTTACAACATTGCCACCTCAACTGTTTCTATAACCTCACCAAGCACCACCTGACGTTAACAGAAGCGAAAAAGAAACAGGGAAAAAGGAGGAAACCCCACCTCCATTTAAGACTTTAACCAAAATATGAGTAACAAGGTTATCGCGAATAACCGAACTCAATTACGGGCTCACCATAGCCCGTGCTACATGGACATTTCGTTCTGAGTAGCTAAATCTAAAACAACAACTTAACGTTGTCACCTTATTCTCTGACGCCACCTTTTCTACCTCATTAACAAAAAATACAACCTCGTCGATTGCCACATCCATCACTAGGGTGTATGTTCAACCACCAGGCAACCATATCAACCAGGCTGTGACTCATACGTCAGGCTGCGAGCAGCAGCGTCCAACAGCCTGGTTGATCAGTCCGGCAACCAGGAGGCCTGGTCGACGACCGGGCCGCGGGGACGCTAAGCCCCGGAAGCACCTCAAGGTAACCTCAAGGTAACCAGGCAACCATTTACTGCCCTGTGTGTGTGTGTTGCATCACCAGCAAAACACCGACCTTACCTAACCTTCTTAGTATGTTAAGATAAGCTTCTTATTGCTACATAATTACAATTATTACTTAACCTATTATAGGTATAGGTTAAGTAATAATTGTAATTAAGAAGCAATAAGATGCTTATCTTAACATACTAAGAAGGTTAGGTAAGATCGGTGTTTTCTATGAAGCTTTTCAAGGTAAACTAAAATATTCACAATAAATTAGTATGTCACATATGCACTTATTTAATAAGTCAATATTGACTGTACGAAAGTGCGAGAACGGGTTGGAAAATCTTAATCACCAAGCTTTCCATTCTTCACTTTCTTCATCATGCTCGTCATGATAACTATCACTGTCTCCTCCACCTCAACTGTTATGAGTAAATGAGTATTGTTGCATTATGTTCCCGGACGCAGGTTCGAATCCTCGTCACAACCCTTGTGGATTTGTTCATTTGATGCATCACGTTAGTGTGATCTCTGTGTGCAATATGGTTGCATTATTGCTGTTGTCAGCAAAATGTATCAATACCCTCCTTATTGTATACCAGCAATATGTATCCGTACCTTTCTTACTGAGTACCGTCAGTATGTATCCTTACCGTATAACAACAATATGTATCCAGTACCCGCTTTATCGTATACCGTCAGTATGTATGAAGACTCCTTAAAATGTACCAATACCTGCCTTATCGTATACCGTCAGTATGTATGAATACCCTAGGGGAGCCGGTCGGCTGAGCGGACAGCACGCTGGACTTGTGATCATGTGGTCCCGGGTTCGATCCCAGGCGCCGGCGAGAAACAATAGGCAGAGTTTCTTTCACCCTATGCCCCTGTTACCTAGCAGTAAAATAGGCACCCTATGCCCCCTGTTACCTAGCAGTAAAATAGGTAAAATAGTTAGTCAGCTGTCACGGGCTGCTTCCTGGGGGTGGAGGCCTGGTCGAGGACCGGGCCGCGGGGACACTAAAGCCCCGAAATCATCTCAAGATAACCCTCCTTACAGTGTACCAACAATACCTGCCTTATCGTATACCGGCAGTATGAATCAATACCGTTGTTAGCGCAGCTCTCCATCGGCACCAACGCTACTGCCAGCATTGTCACCAGCTCAGCGAACCTCATCAGCACTTTCCCAAGCGTTACCAGAACGGAAACATTCCCTTGGTGCTGCTCGCATCACGCCCATCCCCCCTACTCCACACCCCCATACCTCCCCCCCTTTTCCTTCCATCTCGTACACCCCTCCCCCCTCCCTTTCCCACTTTTGCCTCTCCCCCTCTTCCTTAAAGTGCTCTCTCTCTCTGGGGGGAGCTCTGATGGTGCTCTCTGACAGTTATCTAGTAATCTCTGAACTTTAGTGTGGCATTTGATTTTGATTTTCAGTGGGCGAGTGTAAGGGTAAATGAATGTTCTTCCCTGGAAACACAAACCGAAACTGTCTCTATTTTCCGCTTGTTACAACTTGTAATAAAGTTGTTACATCTTGGCTTAACGTGTTTATGACGTATTAGAACGTTGTTACAACTGGCTATATTGGTTGTTATAACTGGTTAGGCGGTGTTAAAACTTGTTCGAACGTTGTACCAACGTCGTAGTTTCGGTGTGTGTTTGGCGGGTTGTTCGTACGTCATGATGGTGTTGAGACGTTGGTGGTAATTCGGTAGCAGTCGTTAGTGGCGGCTTAATTATACTCTAATGCTCAGATGAGTAGTCCTTCGCTATAACTAGATCCTTCATCCCAGAGACCAGGGCAACTTACCGGGGGAAATCTTAAAGTAAATGTGTCACAGCGAATCGGTTAGAGAAAATCTTCTCTTAACTGGGCCGCTTGCCAGCCTCGGAACATGGTTAGCCAAGCTGTAGGCGAGGCTGCGGTTGGTGACTCACTGAACTTTGCGGTGACGGCAGGGGCGATAGTGAGGAGATGGTGATGGACGATGAGCGTGTTGATAATGAAAGCTGTACCGATGGGATTGGAAAGTGCTTGAAGGGGGGTTTGGTGGCTATGGGTGACCGGATAGTGATGGTGTGAGAACTAGCCGATGGTGATGGAAGTTGGAAATTACAGGTGACAGCGTGGATAAGGAGTAGCGGTGAGGATTGTGATGATGTATTAAGTAGTATGCAGAGAACAAGTCACAATTACGTTGCTGAAGCATAAACCAATTCCTTACATATGAAATTAGTGTGACGACGTTTCGGTCCATCTTAAGGGTCCAAGACGAACCGAAATGTCACTTCGTCTCATTTCGCGTGTCGGGTTATTGGTAGCAGCTTAAGACACCAGGGAATCAAGAGGTGTTTAGTGCGTCGAGGAATGTTAAGATTGATGAAGATTAAGCCACCCAAGAGGTGGCACGGGCATGAATAGCCCGTAAAATGTTAAGGTGATAATGAGGCAAGCACGGGAGACATCTCCCGTCACGCAGGGTGCAGTCGCACCTCCACAGATCTCCAGTATCATCTATTGATACTGATAATGGCTCAAAAGGGCCACCACTTACGGGCTATTCATGCCCGTGCCACCTTTTGGGTGGCTTAATCTTCATCAATCAATCAATGCGGCAAGGACATTAAGGTGGTTTAGGTGACATGAAGGTGGTTGTGATTTCACAAGATGGTGAGGTGAAAGTCTTCAATTGCAAGGGACGTCAACCTTTATTCTAATAGTGAGTGGAGAATAATGGTCCTTAATGCCAACCTAAACACCGCGTATGATGATAATGGTTGCCAAAGCTGAAATTTGAATAGATGTTTCTGACGATAAATAATATAGTAAAGCCAGTTGATAATTAGATTTATAAAATCTATATTTTATAAATATATATAAATATAGGTTAGGTCAGCTCGTCATTGAGATATATATTATACAATTTATAAATATATGTGTTTATCCTTTCCGATTGATAAATTTGTTAGCATACTAACTAATATATAAACTATAATTATTTTATAGATGGACATTAGTTTTAAAAACAGATAAAAATCTTGCAGACGAGGAGTCACAATAACGTGGCTGAAGTATGTTGACCAGACCACACACTAGAAGGTGAAGGGACGATGACGTTTCGGTCCGTCCTGGACCATTCTCAAGTCGATTGATAATGGTCCAGGACGGACCGAAACGTCGTCGTCCCTTCACCTTCTAGTGTGTGGTCTGGTCAACAGGAAAAAATCTTGTAATATATATATATATATATATATATATATATATATATATATATATATATATATATATATATATATATATATATATATATGCAATAAGGATACAAATAAATCATTGATCGAGTAATGTAGAATAATCAGTGAAAAATGAAACATTAATAGCTTAGCGCTTTCGATTAATTCAAGCAGTACAGTATATTGGAAGCAGGTTTCCTCTCATGCACATGTAATTATACAAAGATTGTTACAATTACTAATGTTCTTCTGGAGAATTTTCAAGCTGTGTAAATGCCTTCTATCTATCTATATTCTAGAGGCTGAGGAAATACTTAATCATTTAGTCTTTCCATATTATGCCGACGTTTCGTCAGCTATGTAATATCTTCACAAATATATATACACGACATAAATACTGTATGCTAGAGTGGAATTTCTTTGAAGGAGCCATTGAATCAAACTAATGGAATACTAAGTGTGCCATTAAGATTTTTATAGCGTAATCTATAAATATATATGCTTATCCTTTCAGATTGATAAGTTTGTGAGCATACTCTAATATATAAACTGTAAGTTTCTGATCAATGAACATTCGGTTTAGAAACGGTGAGAAATCCAGTATACACGTAAGATACAAATATATTGAATGTACAGACAACATTGAAATAAATCCAGTGACGTCTGTACAGAGAACATAGAAATAAATCCAGTGACGTCTGTACAGAGAACATAGAAATAAATCCAGTGACGTCTGCTATTGCTTGATGGGGTTCAGGGAGTTGTTCCACTCCCAGAGCCCGGCTCGAGGCCAGGCTTCACGTATCAATGAACATTTTCGCACGGGGGTTACGGCTCAATAAATGTTTGAAGGTGGCGTTATATTTAGTGGCTGAGTGCAACAGGTACACCTCTTGGTTATATCACCTGTGTGACAATAGTGAGAGAGAGTGAGTGACCTCACAAGCCTCCTCATCGACCCACTTGACCACAGGCAGAGCAGAGAGCCTTATGGACTGTACTTTTAAGAGGAAAGAGCGCCCTGCTTCCCGTACTCCCTTATGTGATCCAGCGGCAATTTTGTCATCCTAGGCTCGTCTACTTTGGGGTTTTATGGCGGTAAGTGGATATATTTATAATTTCTTTCATCCCAAGTTTATTTTTTAACAATTTTATTACAGTGTGACGGTAAATCAAACACACACCCACCCACACACCCCCACACACCCACCCAGTGTTAAAACTATTATTATTTTAACTTAGATATCAATAATAACACTGAAATTTTCTGTCGACGAATATAAATCTACAACCAATTATAAATAATTTTTATTTGATTAGTGAATAAGAGTTAGCACTGATAACCATCACTATGCAGTTTAAATTTCACATGAAATCATTTATACTATAGAAAAAACATATGTTTTGTATCAAGGCTTTCTTAATACACGTGTATTCACATACACAACATTCAGATAAGATTAAAACCAAATTTAGACCAAGAAATTGAGGTTAATCATCTTAGAAATTGTAAGTTTGCTCACCAAAGTTCTTGAAGTGAATATATCTATGTAAGAACTTTCTTCATTTCTTGTCCATATATATTTATATACAAATTTATACAGGAAGACAAACATGCTAATATGCCACACACATTTTGGAAGACTAAGTGCATTATATTCTGACCAAGAACATCATTATACTCTGACCAAGAGCCTTATACTCTGACAAAGAGCATTATACCCTGACCAAGAGCATTATACTCTGACAAAGAGCATTATACTCTGACCAAGAGCATTATATTCTGACCAAGAGTATTATTATACTCTGACAAAGAGCATTATACTCTGACCAAGAGCATTATATTCTGACCAAGAGCATTATATTCTGACCAAGAGCATTATATTCTGACCAAGAGCATCATTATAATCTGACCAAGCGCATCATTATAATCTCACCAAGTGCATTATACCCTGACCGAGAGGATTATTATACTCTGACCAAGAGCATCATTATACTATGACCAAGAGCATCATTATACTTTGACCAAGAGCATCATTATACTCTGACCAAGAGCATCATTATACTATGACCAAGAGCATCATTATACTTTGACCAAGAGCATCATTATACTATGACCAAGAGCATCATTATACTTTGACCAAGAGCATCATTATACTCTGACCAAGAGCATCATTATACTATGACCAAGAGCATCATTATACTTTGACCAAGAGCATCATTATACTCTGACCAAGAGCATCATTATACTATGACCAAGAGCATCATTATACTCTGACCAAGAGCATCATTATACTCTAACCAAGAGCATCATTATACTCTGACCAAGAGCATCATTATACTCTAACCAAGAGCATCATTATACTCTGACCAAGAGCATCATTATACTCTAACCAAGAGCATCATTATACTCTGACCAAGAGCATCATTATACTCTGACCAAGATCATCATTATACTCTGACCAAGATCATCATTATACTCTGACCAAGATCATCATTATACTGTAACCAAGAGCATTATTATACTCTGACCAAGATCATCATTATACTCTGACCAAGATCATCATTATACTGTAACCAAGAGCATCATTATACTCTGACCAAGATCATCATTATACTCTGAATAGATGAATCATTATACTCTAACCAAGAGCATCATTATACTCTGACCAAGAGCATCATTATACTATGACCAAGAGCATCATTATACTCTGACCAAGAGCATCATTATACTCTAACCAAGAGCATCATTATACTCTGACCAAGAGCATCATTATACTCTAACCAAGAGCATCATTATACTCTGACCAAGAGCATCATTATACTCTAACCAAGAGCATCATTATACTCTGACCAAGATCATCATTATACTCTGACCAAGATCATCATTATACTCTGACCAAGATCATCATTATACTCTGACCAAGAGCATCATTATACTCTGACCAAGAGCATCATTATACTATGACCAAGATCATCATTATACTCTGACCAAGATCATCATTATACTCTGACCAAGATCATCATTATACTCTGACCAAGATCATCATTATACTCTGACCAAGAGCATCATTATACTCTGAGCAAGAGCATCATTATACTCTGACCAAGAGAGTCATTATACTCTGACCAAGAGCATCATTATACTCTGACCAAGAGAGTCATTATACTCTGACCAAGAGCATCATTATACTCTGACCAAGATCATCATTATACTCTGACCAAGAGCATCATTATACTCTAACCAAGATCATCATTATACTCTGAATAGATGAATCATTATACTCTGACCAAGATCATCATTATACTCTAACCAAGAGCATCATTATACTCTGACCAAGAGCATCATTATACTCTAACCAAGATCATCATTATACTCTGAATAGATGAATCATTATACTCTGGCTAACTGCAACATTATACTCTAAGTGCATCATTATAGCACCATTTAATTTGGCTGAGTGCACTGAGCTAGTGATACACAAGAGGCCAGTTTTTTTTAACATAAATTACTCTGTAATTTTCCCCATCTTCAGAGTTTCCTCTATTATTATACCTGAAGATGTTATGGATGGAATGTATAACAACATATATATATATATATATATATATATATATATATATATATATATATATATATATATATATATATATATATATATATATATATATATATATATATATATATATATATATATATATATATATATATATATATATATATATATATATATATATATATATATATATATATATATATATATATATATATATATATATATATATATATATATATATATATATATATATATATATATATATATATATATATATATATATATATATATATATATATATATATATATATATATATATATATATATATATATATATATATATATATATATATATATATATATATTTATATATTATATATATTATATATATATATATATTTATATATTATATATATATATATATATATATATATATATAATATTTATATATTATATATATATATATATATATATGTATGTATGTATGTATGTATGTATGTATGTATGTATGTATGTATGTATGTATGTAATAGGGTGTAAGGTCGCGACTAAAACTGAAACAACCATACAGTTAATTAGTCCTAGGCTTAAATAAGCACTTCTAGGCGTAACATAGGCAATCTTAGGCCTAATTTATAGAATATATGTACTATACTTAGGCCTAATAAATGCTCAATTTTGGTTGTCAGATTTACATATTGGTGACGGAGAAAATCTCTAGACGGTCAAAGAGTAATGACATAATCCCATTTTAGCTTTGTTTAATAATAGCTATTTTTTCTTAACATAATCCAATTAGGCTATGGTCGATAGGGGTGGCCCTGGGGTCACAAGCATATTTTTATTGACCTGATCAATTATATTAAAATGATCTGTGTATGTTTCTATAACTTAGTGTTCCTATTACGAGTAGGGGACAGCTGGGCATTAAACTGGGCACACACTGCACTCAGCACACAGTGCACTCACCACACACTGCACTCACCACACACTGCACTCACCACACACTGCACTCACCACACACTGCACTCAGCACACATTGTACTCACCACACACTGCACTCACCACACACTGCACTCACCACACACTGCACTCACCACACATTGCACTCACCACACACTGCACTCACCACACACTGCACTCACCACACACTGCACTCACCACACACTGCACTCACCACACATTGCACTCACCACACACTGCACTCACCACACACTGCACTCACCACACACAGCACTCACCACACACACCCTCATACATAGTAATATCGACTTATACAGCTCTATGCTCGTCTAAATGGGCCGTATATGAATTACATTTATTTCTGTTCCGAATAAGATTTGCATATGTGTGGACAGCTCTTTGGGAGTAAGTTTCAACGCGTGTTACACATATTCTCACGCTGTTTGGGGGGGGGGGGGTTAGTATGAACTTTGGCCTTCTGTTCCTGAACCCATTATGTGTCTCTGCAACGCTTTCCACCACCGCTCACGGGATGGGTATGGGGTGCACAATAAAGAAATTAAGTTGAATTGGGTGGTTGGGATACATTTGGTGGCACAATGTCTATGCTTCTCTATAGCCTATGTTCAAAGTATCGGCTTGAAAACAATTATATATATATATATATATATATATATATATATATATATATATATATATATATATATATATATATATATATATATATATATATTGTACAGTAATTCCAAAATACAAATTTATGGAGAAGAATGTAATGTTATTTCAAATCTTCATTTGATTTTCAAATCAGAATATCAAATCTTTTGATGTTTGACCTACATGGAACCTATTAGTCTTTACAAGGTATTCTGTAAATGACACAATTATCACTACGAGGACTGTTTCTAACTAATAGTTTTCCAACAGTATTTTCGTAATTAAACAAACAAGTTTGGAAACTATTAATTAGAAACAGTCCTCATAGTGAACTGTAGTGGTCCTACACACCCAGGCGGCGTGTAAAGATGCCAACTGGGGTCTGTTAACTTATCTACATTAGTTTGTATATAGTATGTGGCTCAGCTCAATAGTCTGGTCCATCTGGTCACCACTTGGTCCGGGAGACATCTCCCGTCACGCAGGGGGCAGTCGCGCCTCCACAGATCTCCAGTATCAGCTCTTGATACTGGTAATGGCTCAAAAGGGCGGCCACCACTTACGGGCTATTCATGCCCGTGCCACCTCTTGGGTGGCTTAATCTTCATCAATCAATCAATCAATAGTCTGGGCATAAGTGTATGAAGGGGAGTCATAGTTACACATTACCTGCCCGAAACGCTTTGCGTAATAGTGGCTTTAGGCATTGTATGTACTAGCTCTATCTATAAATCCAACAAACTTTGTAAAATCTCTTGTATGTATGTACCTTACCTAAATAAACATTTATTTATTTATTTATTTATTTAGTTACAACTGGCAAGGGTGCCATATGGCACATTTACAAGCCCACTGTCATCATTGCGGGGGTGGAATTTGCTTCTCTGAAGAACCTCCAAACTTTCTGGGAGAACGTTCCTG